TWWMTKYTWCYGYTTCCATTGTGGGCGTAAAACGTGCGTTGCTTTGCGTTTCTTTCCCTCTCTTTCATGGTCAACGCTTTGTTYTCTGTAATCATATTTTGAGAYTTMATCCCCTTATTGACGCAATATACCTTTGRGCGAACTATTTTATTTTTGTTTATGCCAGATGTTGAAATGAMATTGTTGATATCTTTAGTACTCTTATGCAATTTTGTTTTTGTATTCATACTTTTTTGACTTTGAGAGCTGTTCTTATCCRTAGTARAAGARTTTTCCGGRTGTGAATTTTGAGCGTCTTGCCAACTCCATTCCTCAGCCGTCAACAACAGTTCAAAGTCCCTTGCTTGAGGTGAGCAGTTGCCTTTCTTAATAAGTTTTTCCATGAAGTCTTGATAATATCCCAGCTTAGCAGCAACTATCAATGGTGTTTCTCCAATGTTATTCGCTTGATCAWGACAGCTTATTCTTCTTTTCACAAACTCTTTCAAAATGGCGTCCAAAATGGCCGCGTCTCCTGTTCGTACAGCGTAAATGAGGACTGAATCGCCGCTGTTATCTTTAGCACACAGGTCAAGTTCTCTTTCTTTAAGCAACAAGTTCACAATCCGCGCACTTTTGTTTCTGCATGCGTGCATAAGGGGAGTCAATCCTTGACTGTCAGTGGCCCTAGAATTTCAAGAAATACAGCGTTCACAGTAGAAAAAAAAGAGAAATTGTAATTAGATAAAGAAAATACTGCTTTAAAGAATTTATTTGTATTTGTAAATTTTTCTTTGCAGTTTAAAAATTTTCATTTCCATTCGTAGATGGCAACCGACGCTCAATTATATAAGGAGCAAAACATTTTTACTTAATTAAGATAGTTACATGAAAAAGACAAAAGAAAATGACACAGGACGTACGCTTTCTTTGAATGCATTACGTTTTTCTAGCTAGTAGAGTAAAACGTAAGATAAACTAAGTTAAAACACAAGGGCAACGTAGAATTAACTGAAACGTAGGTCAACTAAGGTAAAGCACAAGTCAAAACGTAATATAAACGTAAAATATTAAAACTTAAGGTAAACGAAGGTGAAGAGGTAGTTAATTTAAAACGTAAAATTAACTAAATTGAAACGTAGGTAAACTATATACGGTAAAGCGCAAGTCAAAACGTAAGGTAAACGTAAAATGAAACGTAAGGTAAAACGTAAGGTAAACTAAGTTAACTGAAAGCGTCGAAGGTACAGGAGTGGGAATATCGGCCTTGAGAGAAGGGGATCAAGATGCTCTGTAATTTTTACGATGACAATATCGACGTTATGACGCAATATGATACACTATACTACCTAGGTCTTGCTCCTTCTCTTAGCAACCACTTCACGACACGACACGCTTGGTTTTCTTGTTGTAGCTGGCTTGCAGCAATGAGAGCAGTTCTTCCATGCTCTTTGTCTCTGCTATTGACATTATAACCATTCTTCACTAACAACTTCGCTTGATGAAATCGTCTCTCTTCTATTGCTCTAACCAAAGCTGTCATCTTACATTCACAAGGTGTGGTCGTCAGTATCACTGATATTCATTAAGATCAGAGACACTGTAAACTAATTTTTGTTAGTTTTGGTCTTTTATCTGTTATAGCTTGCGTGTACCGTCTTTCCCTTTCCAAAGTTAAGGAACGTGCACTTTCGCCAAATGAATATAACTGTTGAAGTYATCCATTTTTTAAACAAGAAATCAAAAATCCAATATACAAAGAGAAGTATAGAGACAACTGTATTTGCAGAAAAAGTTGCGCCTTCGTTTTACATAGAGTTACTTTAACAAGCAAAATATTTCAGCTGTGTGCCGGTGTGGTAGTAAAAGGCAAAAAGCACGAATTCCTACAGATCTGTCATACCCGTTTTCTTTTGAAGTGAATGCAAAAACTTTATATAATTGAATTTTAACCCTAATTTTCTAAATACTTTTTTACTTCCTGTGTATTTCAAAGAACATCTGTTTCCTTGATTCACGGGGCATAMGCGYTGTAACAAATTCACTATTGAATATAAGAAGATTCTAGTTTATTTTGTAGAACAACTTTGTTTATTGGTTTTCACGCTAGGCTAATGGGTATAAAMATATCAATATGGACGGAAATGATCTATTTGGMGAACGGGTTCTCAGTGCGACCGCTGAGACGGTAAAACTGTRGCCTTCATAATTTCCTCATTCTATTACTTTTCTATGCATCCGTTTCAAACAAAACTGACCAGTTGTTCCTAAGCCAAGAAAAACTCAAATTCAATCTTTTAAAATAAGGTACTGCGCGAGGTCCTTGCTAAAATATTCTATGAATCAGTTGTGTAAAAAAATAAATTAAATACCGTAAAAAAGTAGATGAAATAACTTACTGACGTTTCGGACGTTAATCCTTCGTGGAGTAAAAAGCAAATTAATTTTTTATCAAATTAGCAACTTTATTTATTCTATGAGTCGTAAGCAGCATGCAGAGAACGTTAAGAGGAAAAAACTTCATGATTAAAAAACTGAAATGTTAGTATATATATCCTGAGAAAAAAATKATAGAGAGAAAACATGGGTAATTTTGTAACAGCAAGATTAGATGCGAGTAAAATGTTATTGATGTCCTCTGTTTCTTACCAAAGTTGTAATTAATTAGTTGTATAATTATTGTAGTAATTATTTACCATCACATCGTCACATCGTAAGGAATACATTAAAAGACAAAACTTTTTTGCACCCTTTTTGTATTTTATAATGTTGTTATATTTCCATTTAAGATTACTTTTTCTCAGGACGTTTTAGTATCTACCATCCAYCAAACGAAACCTCCAATCCAGCATTCTGATTGGCTATTGTTCTATGGCTAATGCAGAGGGCCAAACTTTGAACAAAATAATATGGGGGAAATGTAAGGTTTTTGGAGTACAGAGAGAGTCATTATTCCGTCTTCTGAGCAGATTCGATATTAGGATTCCAGGATAATTCTATTATGGAACTACAGCCAGGAAAGGTGTCGTACACTTTCGCAACGTGGTAACCCATATTTGAACCAATTACGCGGAGTCGCTCTATCAACTCGGTTTTGGTCAGGCGTGGCTTTCCTACTATGCTCATCCGATGGATCGATTGTRTTCCCAACTCCATCCCATTGATTCCAACATTGTGATCTTTGTCTTCGGGTACAATCGASTCAATTATCAACAGCCTTCCACCAAGTGGAGCGAATAGCTTACGACAGTTGCTTAAAGCACTGCGCGACAAGCTGTCATCGCCTATGTACATTCCAAATGTATTCTTGAACATCACGGTGTCTGCCTCCAAGYGCAGGTCACTCGGAAAAGGCTTCGTAAAATCGTGTGCCAGAAACTCAATACGGCGTGCAGAGATCCCAAGATCTTGAATCTTTGTTTTGGCTTCWTCAACTACTTCCAAATAGTCAATAACACATCCTTGGACGTGCTCGCATCCAGGCAGTTTCAAGATCGAYGAGAGAAAGCTTCCTGTACACCCACCTATATCAACCAGTTTCTTGCATGTCGACCAGGGGAATACGTTGTACAAATTTTTGATRCCTGGTATGTTTGGTAGTGTTTCAAGGTAGGTARAATACGTCATACCTTTGGCATAGTCATTGGCTAGMTCCACTCKACGTTCAAGGCTTCCTATCTTGTGCATAGATGTTCCTTCAGACAGTTTTGWTTGATCGTAACTTTTTGTCAGGTCACTCATATAACTTAGGTGGGTCATCCCATGCTCCAGGAYGAAGGCAGGTTTTCCTTGCTTTACGGCTGCTCCCAGAGAACTTAAGGACTTGAATTGTTCGTCACTGCCATAGTAAGCGWACATGTGACCTAAGCTTGGACCTTTATCTCGTCTTAATAGTTCCATGCTTTCATTCTTGGTAAAATGCTTGTYCTCCAGCTCTTTGCCAATCCCCAATCGMGCTAGAACTCTCATGACCTCGTACAACTGCAAGCTTGTCTTACATCCAGACTTTAATGCAATCTCTTCGATACTMATGGATGATTCTTCGATGTTGCAGAGCAGATCAGGAATCTTTAGGTCGATTAGAATTGAAATACAGCGATGCTTCCAAACAGAATGCATTATCGATAACAAGG